GGGGGAGAGACAAACAGAAGGCCATTAGCGCTGTTTCCTCTCATGTGTGATTTCTCTGTGGTGGGGGGGTTAGTGCTCACAGTGAACCAGGTGTGATTCTAGGGGACAACAAGATGGGGTAGGTGGGGGGAGCATAATTCTTACAAAGGGGTCAACCTTCTCATTAGCCAATGATATGTTTTGAATCGGTGAGTGACAGGGGAGGGGGCACTCCAGGAGCCCATCAGCTTTTGCCCTCTGCCCCGTAGCCCCGCCCCTGCATGCGCCCCAGTGCAAATCTATACTCCTCACCTCGTATTACCCACTTCAGGTGCAGAAAGTGGGATGCTGGGAATTTTTAAAGGGGCAGGAACGCCAAGTGGATGAGATACCACCAACCTGGAAGTTGTTCTCTGGGAAGGTGATGGAGAGGGGCTTTTTGCAGGGTAGGAATGTCCAATTAGCTGTGTATAGGGTTACGTGTGTCCCTAACTGTCAGGGTGACAGTTGAGATCGTAGGACAACCCCCCGTAACCCAGATAAAATGGACACATTGCCCTGGGGGTTGGGGGGCCATTGAGGGAGGGGCCTACCTTGTCTCCGTCCGCTTGCAGGGTCTCTGGCTGACTCTCCTGCTCCCCCATGGAGGGTGATGATGACAAGCGGGGCTGTGGACAAACCGGAACGTTAGCATGCCCCGGGGGGGCAGGGCAGTCAATTGACCTTGAGCCACAGAGTTTTGTTTCGTCTCCTCCGTTGTAGTGCCTTGGGGTGACTGTGTTGTGAAAGGTGAATTGAATTGAATTGAATTGGATTGGATTGGATTGATAAACAGAACGGAATGAAATTGCATTGAATTGAATTGGATTGAATTGAATTGAACTGAACTTTCAGGACGTGAAATGTACATCTCTGCTAAAACCCAATTTGTTTACTTATGAAATCCCACATGACATATGACATAACTCCGTTGTGAAGGAGGCACTAGAGGCCTGGAGCCGCGGTGGTGGGGGGGGGGCTTACCGAGTAGCAGCTGTTGACGAAGCCACATGACGGCACGGAGGCGTCAGAGGAGGACAGTGGGACGGGCTCCACGGAGCTGTCGGAGGCGGGGCTTCCAGGGCGGGGCGGAGCCCCAAAGAACACATCTGTGTGTGTGAAGTGCTGCCATCCATGGAGGGGGGCACAGATTAAAGGGGGAGAGGTGAAGAACTTCCACACTGCTGAGTAGGAACAAGCCTTAAACGAGGGTCAGGACATCTCCGCTAGCAGATGCCTCAAGAAAGTTAGGTCTGTCCTCAAGGACCCCTGGAATGCCAGCCACGAACTGTTTACACTCCTGTCGCCATGGAAACACTGCTAATGCCGTCAGGCAGTCAGGTTGCTACCATGGGCAATTTGCGCTTCACACTTTTTTCTTATTTTATTCTATTTTATTTTTTGTTTGTCATTTATCTATAATCTTACTTATTACTATTATAGGAAGCAGCTCATCTAATTTCCGGCAACCACTGCTGTAATAAATAATCGCTAATTTGAAGCGAAACAACAACTGGAACCTACCTGTTTTGGAATAATAACAGTAAGAGAACATTTATCCTGAATGGACCGAATACCTCACTTGTCTTGCTGCTTCTGGAGGATCCCACAGGGGAGAGTAATCATGAAGGTCTGAGAAATGGCCTTCATTATGGTCTGTGGTGGGAGTCCCACCTCCCAGCATGCAACAGTCCAACAAGCAACACCATCTCTGTCTCCCTTGTGAGTAATCGCTTACTACCAGCCTGCCTCTATATGTGGCCTGGAAATCAACAGTGAGGCCTCACTGGGAACACTGGCCAGTCCGTCTGGAACACAGTGCCGTGCCTGAATCTAACAAAGACCTCCGACCTCCTTCTACCATCCTACCTCCTTTGCTCTGTCCAGGTCTGTGGTAAAACACAGTAATACCCTGTGGAGGCCAAGGCAATGGCAGAGACGCCGTGACTGATCAGAGGAACTCAAGGTCAGTAGGAGAACTTCAAAGCCACAGAGACAGACCAAGTCTTTGATCTCCTTTTAAAATGAGACAAGAAAACCTATCACTGGCAAATGCTGGGAATCTACATTTAACGTTTGTGGGGAAGATATGTTCAGATGGAGCCATCTGCACTCCCCGAACCCCTCGCCAACTTGATAATCGTCTATGAATCTTCATTCTTCACTGGAGCTCTGATAAAAGCGCAATCACCTCGTTCTCGGAACTCGACGAAGGGGTGGGGGAGCTGACGGAGGCCCTGCTGGCGTCCTGCCGCCCGGGGGGCAGCGGGGAGGGGCCCCCTGGCATAGCACCGGGTCTCTCCCACTGCGTGGCCCCCGTGGGGATGTGCCAGTAGTAGATTCCCGCCATGTCGTTGATCATCTTCCATCCAGGGGGCAGGTCCGGGTCTGTCTGGAAGGACTGCTCGCTCCAGACGTCTGCGCACACGAGAATGGGCAGGAATCAACAGCAAGAACAGGGCTCAGCAGACGCTTTCGCTCGACACAACACTCTACTGTTTGGGGCTAGACCTCAAGGCCAATCAGCATCTGACGTCATGCAGGGGTTAAGGGTGTTGCTCAATGGCCCAACAGTGATATGATTACTCTGTGGCCATGGGATTCAAGCCAACCACCTACTGAACACACGGCCCCCAAAAGCACGCTAAGTTGTGCGCGCTGGAGTCACGCACACGTTTGAAGGGTATCGTGCGTTCACTGATCAATATTAATGACAGCAATAAACTTTATATAAAGCCCCCATTAAACATGTTTAACTGCTTTAATAATAAACACATCAAACTGGAATCGAACACATGCTGAATAATTAAAAGCAGCTAAATTATGGTGACAGTCGCACAGAGAATAAACGGCTCCGGTATGTTTTATAAATAGCTAATGGCTGGGTTTCTGATGTCAGATGAGAATTATTTTAGAAAAACCCTTCTGGAAAGAGGCACGGGTAGCGTACGTCCGAGTACGACGCAGGACAGCAGCCTGCCGTAGCTGAGAGGGCTACTATCGCGGTTCCTTAATACGTAAACACACGGCAAAAGCAGCCTCACGTCCGCCAACACTCATGGCTGTGGGGGAGCCGCGGGGAATCATTTAATTAATGGAACCAGCTGGATATATATACACACAGCCTTCACACTTCCAAAGGTATTTGGTTTGCCTGAGAATCATTAGTGATACTTTACTGATCCCCACGGGGAAACTGGCTTTTTGCCTGTCAAATCGTGCTCTCTATGAGACACACAGACAGGTGAGAGCAAGCTTGGGGGGTCACAGCACAGGGTCAGCCAGCGTACAGCACCCTTGGAGCTGGGGGTTAAGGGCCTTGCTCAGGGGCCGAACAACGGCATTGGTCTGCTGGGCCCTGGGATTTGAGCCAACGACCTTCCGATTACAGGTATTGGTGCTGACACGTTGAGCCTCAAACATAACCCGTGAAGACAGCTGATGTCCCAGGCAGCAGGAACTACAGCGAGGTTAGGAAAAGCTGGGCTGAAGGGATGTAGTGATGGATCGATGAGGAAGGTAGATGGGGGGTGAGGGTCTTTCCCTGATGCTGACAGTCATGATCTCCACGAGCCAGAATTCCTTCCTGACTGATCTGGAGGGATAAGTGCTAACAGATCAAAGTTCTTCACATTTTGTTTATTTTAATAACACGGATCAGACAGCGGCTGAAGAAACTGAAGGTTAAGGGCTGTTAGCGCTGAAATCACTGCAATCCTGGGGATTAGAAGCAGCGACCTTCCGATCACATTGCAATCATTGTTTTTAAGGGGTGGCCTTAGAAGCAGACCTGTGCCCAGGTCTTCACCAGAGAAACCAGACATTACCCCACTGGAGAGGTGTGCAGAACAGGGACAGTCAGTCATCTAGAACATCAACGATCTGCCGTTTTCAGGCCCCCTCACTCACAGTTTTAGTAGAACTCAAACACACATAGGCTCATGTTGCCATTTGTACATTGGAACGTGAGAGCTTTTGCATATCTCCAGGAAGAGTGATCAGAAGGGCCAGCCATTTATCTGGGGGGGGTTATATTGTCAAGGGCCCAAAGCAGATATATTACTCCACCCAATATGGGATTCAAACCAGCAACCTTCCGATCACAGGTACAGAGCCTGTAAGCCACACTCTACCCTCATGATATCAGTCAGATGCTTCACACCGCCAGGTCTGTGTCCAGTTCCCGCCCTGCATAGATGGCAGGTCCTCCGCTTTCCGGAACTGTCTGCTGTGTGTGAGTGTTATGGTACGAACTGCCGTCCCCTAGAGCACGCCCCGCTCCCCTCGCCCGCCAACTTGCAAGCGGTTTCTCCTTGGATAGGCTCCAGGCTCACCAGAAATATCTGACATGACTGCAAACGCTAATGTGCCGATTTGACATCAATCAACAGCAACGTTCACGAGCAGCGTCTGTCGTATTTCAGTGCGTGTAGTACCTGAAAGCGCCTGCAGGTGGCGGTGCCCGTCGCCATGGGAGACGCCCCCCCCACAGGCCCTGACAAGGTCAACAAATTACTGCCATTGAGCCGCACAGCAGAAAGCCCCGGATCGCGTCAGAACCATGATGAGTGGCTCTAATCTGACTACGAGGCAAAAAAACGCCAACGTGCCACACCAGCACAACAGGGGGCACTGACGCCTCACGTGTCCAGGGTTGGGGGGTTGAATTCTGCCTCTGCTGTGTTATTCCTGTGTTGTCAGGGTTTCTTCTATGTACTCCAGTCCAAACACATGCAGTTAGGCTAATAAGCATCTCTCAATTGCAAACATGTGCCCTGTGATGGACTGGCATCCCGTCCAGGGTGTACCCCAGCCCCGTGCCCTGTGATGGACTGGCATCCCGTCCAGGGTGTACCCCAGCCCTGTGCCCTGTAATAGACCGGCATCCTGTCCAGGGTGTACCCCAGCCCCGTGCCCTGTGATAGACCGGCATCCTGTCCAGGGTGTACCCCAGCCCCTTGCCCTGTAATAGACCGGCATCCTGTCCAGGGTGTACCCCAGCCCCTTGCCCTGTAATAGACCGG